CTCTACCTTTTTATTTTTAAACTTTTATGTTTTTATTGGATGCAATTTGCCAAAGCAAAATCAAACACCCACCCCCCCCCCCAAAAAAAAAAGAGAGAAGAGAAGGGAGGGAAAGACGAGAGGAAGGGAAGAAGGAAGGAGAAGTCATCCGAACTGCCTCATCCACTGGGGCTCCCGCCACCTTGCTGTGGCCAGTTAGGAGCAGGTAATGCCCGTGACTCATACCCACCGAGAAGGGGGGCCAGCGACATTGAGAAAGTGCCTCTCTTCGTGAAGCCCCCCTTCAGCTGTTAAAAAATACTGACAAGTGCTCCGGTATAACGACCTGTGCCAAATTTGTTCCAACTGCAAGTGGTCAGTCATAAAGAACAGAACTATTAACTGGATCAAGGAGAGCTGAACAGAGCTGGGACTCGCCTTTGGTGCCCATGGCTCAGGATGCTTACCTCTAGCATCTCGGCCCCAACTAGACCCTGACTGTGGGTTCACAGATCCAGGAAAGCGTGTCCACGACTGTCTGAGCCGACTGTCTGAGCAGGATGCACAAAGCAAGCAGCAGCCCCAGGAACAGGGGGGAGGCCTGTGAGAAGCACTGGTTTGGGGACACAGCCAAGCAGGGCCTGCGGCAGATACCTGGCACATTTTCCCCACCACCCCTTCCTTGTAGTCCAGTCAAGTCTTTTAAATCCCCTAATTCTAACTTCCAAAAACCTCTACCTTGGGCTCAACCCAAATCTGTCCCATCTGAGCCCACTTTATAGTCCATTTCCACAGCTCACAAATAATTGGTGGCATCCCCACATGAGGTGCTTGTGGCTGAAGACAATGGTTAAGTTTCTTTCAGTTCTTCTTTGTTCTCTCTCCTATCCGGGGCTAGGAAATGTTTTAGGTAGTTGTGCTACAGGAGAAAATAAACACTGTACCCCATAATTCCTTCAGGTTCACGGACATAGAGACTAAAATGACCACTGTACTCATAAATGCGTCAAACATCAGATATCCAGGTTTGTATGTTGACATGCATAACTTATTTCCTTAAGTCTTCTCATAACTCAGTGCACTATGCATATAGTAAAATGTTGCAAAGGCATCAAAGCACATCCAGGGACCGCAGATCTCCTCTTCAGAAGTTATCACTACTCTATTTTTTGTTATGTGCAATTTGGAACTAGAAGAATGCCTCTGCACAATGAGTGGCCTATAGATTAAGTGGCAAAGATGCTCTGGGGGAAGGTTCCGAACGACAGACTAGAACAAAAAGTCATCTTCTTCTAACCTGAACAGCTGTTATCTGTAACCCTTCAGGGCACAAACTGTTACCTGTAACCCAGAAAAAATGTGCCCATTTGTCTAACATTATGAAATTAGGTTCATATTCAGCAGTTCATGTCTCCCTGAAACATCTTGGGATCTGCTCTTGTTCACAAAATGACACCTAATTTGTTACAAAAAAAAAAAAATTAACACACAATTTGTTCAACTACTTGTTTATTTCAGAGTCTTTCACTTGCCACTAGCATTTCTCAGTTCTTGATGGTAGGCAAAGAAAGGGTCAGAACTCTTTGGACTGCTTAGCAATATTTAATTTACATGTTTAGAAAATAAAGTTAAGTCCTGAGCTCCAGATATGCATTGATGAGTACAAGGTCAGGTGACCCTTCACTTGCCACCACCCAAGTCAGGAACTCTTAATGAGAGGAGAATGGGAGGGTGCAGGGTGCCCAAGGAAAAAAGACCTCTGAGAGGAGGATTTTAGAATATGTGAGTGGTGGTCAGTTAAAAAATTATATGTGGCTCCCTCCTGTATATCTGTGGTCAGCAAACTATGGGCCAAATCCAAAATCTAGCCCATCACCTGTTTTTGTAATTAAGGCTTTGCTGGAACACAGCCATGTTTGTTTGGTTTCATTTTGTCCATGACTGCTTTTAAAATAGCAGAGGGGGGCACAGATGTTGCACAGACCCTATGGCCCACAAAGTCAAAATTATTTACTATCTGGCCCTCAACAGGTATTTCCTGAGGATCTTTACTCAGTGAGACACTATTACTAAATATTGTGTCCTTTTCTGCAAGTCTGTCTTTCTCCTCAGGGCTATAATAGCAAAGTTTACCTTTGGTTGCCAGTAACAAAGATCTAAAAACAATGGCTTCAACAAGACACTTGTCTCTCACATAAAAGTCCAGGGATGAAATGACACTCCGGTGCCAGAGACCCAGGCTGTACTTGACATAACTTCCATTGTCAAGGGCACACCATGGTCCAAAATGGGTGCCAGAGTACCAGCCATTACGTTCACATCCAAGTAGCAGGAAGGAAAAAGGACAGCCTCAACCTAACTTTTCAGGGAAACTTTTGGAAATACCTAAACACTTCCACTTATAAATCATTAGCTAGACTTGGCCACATAGATACACCTAGTTATAGTGCTGCTTAGATAAAAAAATCAAAGTTACATTATTTTTTTAAGTGAGGGATTGGATATTAAGAGATAATTAGCAATCTCTGCCACAGGAACCTTACTCCAACCACCAAGTCCCTTATTAAGATAGGTGCACACTCTGGGCAGGCTAATCATTTGGCATAGCTCCAGAATAATTGGCCTTAAGTACTGGTTTAACATTTATTTAAAAGATGGTAAGATCAGTGCCAATAAAAAGTATTTTTTTGGTTGGTTGGTTGTTTTCAAATTTCCAAGCAAAAGTACTGTCTCCTCTGGAAGCAACTGGACAAATCCAACTTTCTTAAGTTAGTATGTGGTTGTGTGTATAGATCTGCATCAATAGAGCATTCCTATACAGTCCAGTGATTTTTTTCTTAAATGGAATATCTGCCTGCCTGGTGTGTTCGTGGTCAAAGGACACCAACACTACCTCATTCTCACAGATTTTCTCCAATTAGCATGCCCATTCAGCATTTACTCTCACCACTGCAAATCACCTCCAAGTCAGATAAAAACGATATTTACCCCGCCCCCAAACCACACTTACTCCCATATCCAGGCACTAACATCACCCTCTAACCTTTAAGATCTGATCATCTCCAACAGAAAAGGCTACTCCTCTAACTTTTGACACTGATGATATGAGAGTAGAGGTAGGGCTAAGGCAATGGCAAGAAGCAAAAGCTTGAGAAGTATAAAATTAGGAATGGATTCTGAATCCTTGATTCCCATGGGTTTTCTACATATTAAACAAAAATGGGGAAAAAATAACAAGTCATGTCCTTTTTGGTATCTCAGTTAATATTGAACAATCAGTCTTAGTCCTACACTTTCCCTCTTCTTCAAAAGTAAGTACTGGAATTTCACTATCAACATGGAAATTCCTGGAAATTTCTCTCTCACAGAATAGTCCTGGGCTGAATGGGTATTCCATCATGTCAAAAATCCAGGCTGCTCCATATATACTGTTTCTGTAAAGTTAGGGCACAGATATCATCTGCAAACTCCAAAATAATTTAAAGGCTGCCAAAAGCAGCTCAAAACAAGTAGAAGCTAATGAGAAGATGTGAAGGAAAGAAACACAAACAGTGGCATTTCTCAGAAAACACTAGCAAAGGTAACATTTCTCAGAGCTGAAGGTTATAATCTGAAGTTCAAAATCTTTATCACTGATAAGTATTGAAACTGAAGTAAACAAAGGCGAATCTTTTGTTTGTAAGAAGAGAAGATTTGGGGTGGGATGCAGAACTATACAAGGAATCAATGAGATGAATGAGCCATATTCAAAGAAAGACTTATTTCTTGGCACTGGAGAAGATAAAAGCCTTAGGGTGGTGAAAACAACTAGCCAAATGATCACCCTAGCCCCTCCCTGCCATGTCAACCCCCACCCTCACACCTCGACTTTGTGCACATAGCTGGTTCAGAAAATCCAATGCCATTCAAATACAAGTAACAAAAAGGCAAATCATATGCATACCACAGGTACATCAATTTAAAAACTGGGGCGAAAATAAGGAAGATGAAAGAAAAACTTTTTAACAAAGAAGTCATAGGGAAAAAAATGTTGCCCCTGGATCATAAGAAATTGCTGGGCAAATATCTTGCAATAGATTTTTAAAACCAAATGAAGCAATTCGTCTATGAAGTAAAACTACAAAGCACAAATAATTCAGAGAGTAGAAGGCAAGAAAACAGGAGGAACTGAAATGTGAGCTCGCAGAACTCATAAAAGGGGGAAAACAAAGTAATCGAAGATGGAAATGGAATGTGAGCAAGGAAGAAGAGACTGCAGAAAACAGTAAGGGACAGAGAAGGTAGCAATGAGAAAAGCATTCAAAATGAAGTGTAAATAAAGAGTTTTAAAACATTAGAGAGAAAGTAATAGGTAGAGAAGTCACATAAAGGAGAGCCTACTCATGCAGAACTGGAATTCCGGAAGAATGAAACAGAACAATGGATCAGAACAAATCCTTAACGATATAACTCAAGAAAACTTTTCCAAAACCAAAGTAGAGTCAAATCTGATTAGTGTAAGACTACAGCATACACACACACACACACACACACACACACACACACACACACACACCCCAGGAAGACAGGCCAACACTGAGATGGACCCTGATAAAGTTATTAAACTTTATCCTAGGACCTAATACAGCTTTTGGCATGTGACAAGTGCTTAATAAATATTCACTGAGAGACTGACAAAACAGCTTTTTCTCCACAATCCCGTTTCTGCCACATCTCCTCTGTTCCTGGGATGTGATATGGTAAGAAATCACTTCTAAAAACAATACTGAAAAACTCTAAGATCTTTAAAACATTCTCTCACCTATTTACTAAGATAGGAAAGATTAAAACTGCATTTTAGAAAGATTTTTAGAAAGGACTGATATAAAAATCTTTTCTGATTAACTATATATTCACTATAAATTCTGGAAATATTCTGTCTCATATACATTGAGTTTCAGCAAAATTTTATTATATATTTCTATAAGCCATTTGTCACACAGAGACAAAAAAAGGATAAAATCAGAAAGTTTTTTACTTACTTTGGATGTTCAAACTTGTCTATCAGATCAACTTTTTCCACCAGGTCTCCTCCAATTGTTCGTACTAAATCATAGAAATCGTTTTCTGTGTAACTCTCAGAGGGCAACCAGAATGAGATGTCATTTATCACAGCAGGGTATTTGCTAAGAGGCTAACAAAACAAGAGAAGAAAAGATAGATTGATTTGTTAGTTGGATGAGAGAATGTTTAAATTTTTCATGGAAAGTTACACTTGGCTAATTAGAAAATGCTGGTAAAACATTATTTCAGCACTTGAATTTTCAGGAACAAAATGAACTTAAAAGATAAGCCAATATTCAAAATTAGCAAATTCCATTATGAATGTTACAGATTCTTATCACATTCATGTGTAACACTACCATATATTATATTTATATAACCATTAATGTACAATTTAGTATAAAGCAATTTGGATATATCATACTTCAGTTTTTTCATTTGAATACTAGAAGAGAAAAAGTTCAAATTTAATTAACAAGCGATTCATTAACTTCCTGTGATATTTTCAGGAAGTCATTTTAATAGAGAAGTAAGTAAAGGCTTGTCAAAATTGATATTTTTCAATTAGTAATGTCATTATTTGTTAGTATTTCTAATTATTAAAATAAAGGACTGGGATGATAAGTAGCCACTTAGGGAGTTATTTTTCAAATTATGGCTCTAAGGATGGACAAACACAAATGTAGCCAATTCCCCCACTTTATCCCATTTTCCCCAGTTTATTCGAGCTTATCATTATATTGGATAGACACTTAAAATTAGATACTTTTAAAAGTTACTGCCTTTGTTTACGTGGCTTATATACATATAAATATATATATAATAAATGTTTGTCTGTAAGTTACTGCCACAGTAAAAAATGTTTCATTATATAACTATGAAGTCCTCAGGGGATATGTGCTAAAGTATAAATAAATCTGGCAGAAGAGCAAATTTATAAACTGGTTTACACCAAACCTGATATCACTATAAACCCTTTGGTGAATCACTGATAAGAAAAAGTGTAACTTTTCAAATGACAAAACCTCCGAAGAACCAAATACACAAAAAATGATTATTCAACTTGAAATATCAATAAAGTTGTCAGACAAATGCATCGGTTCAAAACACACATTTCAAATGAACATAATAAAGCTACCATCTAAAGTGCTTCTGACAAAATACCATGGCTCCTGAAAAATATGTTTGGTTTTCTCTCCTACAGTAAAGTCAAGATCCTGTGATAAATCATTCATGGGTTAATATAACAACACATACGGGAGTATGGTGGTTACACCAGTTGCTTTTCCCTTGGACAACATCCTTTCGCCACTTCAGGAACATGGAAATTTAGGGAGATTGGATAAAAGGCTGGGATTGCAAAGAATTCGCATGTAATGCCGTCTTTAGGTGACCCAAGCTGAGATACCACTGAGCTCTGATGACAGACATGGGAGGTGCCCAACTGAGCATTTGTGTCCGCAACCCATTGACAACAGTAAACACGATAATAACAAAATAATGCTGTCAGCCAGAATAGAGGTCCCCAAGACATTAAAAAATGAATTTTACAGTAAATTACAGTTTTAAAAACCAGGGAGAAAAGCCCAGACTGTTGCATTGCGAACTAGTTCAAGCTAACAAATTATATATAACAAGTTTAAAGTAATGGTTTATCTAAAGGAAGCATTCACTATACTAACTGGTATGTGTCAGATATGGGATACCTACTAGAGACTTCTGCTTTTTTGAGGGGGAAAATAAAGGTTTGTTTTGAAAGGATAACTACAGATCTATAGCTACTGGAATGTAGGCTTTCTGATGCTTAGCCAGAGGTGGTATTAAAAACTATCCAGTGGCTTCCCATTGATCTTAGGATAAGTCCCCAATTCTTGAAAAGTTCTAGCTCTTTCTGTTGTCCAGGCTCACACCGCCTGGCTATTTGGTTTCTTGAACACACTTCGCTGCTTCCTCCAGATACTGTTTTCTGCCCTCCCTACTCTACCTCTGCTCCTTAGCTACCACGTTCACCTCTAACCCTCACAGACTCCAGTAGTCCCTTGTTATGGCAGCCTATACTTCTCTTTCATAATACCTTTCATTATTGTAATTGTTTGTGTAATTACTTACTTAATGTCTGTCTTTCCAGTATATTTCAATTTTTGAGGGTGGGGTGTGTATCTTTTTTTTTTAACCTCCAAATCTCTATTACCCTGCACAGTCCCCATGACATTGTAGGCATTCATCAAGAGCGCATGACAACGCTACCTTGTGTGAGCAATGGCTTCATTACAGTGAATCAATTTAGCTGTTCTTTCTTCTCTAACCAGACCAGCTAATGGACATGGCAGGTAAATAAGGCATAGAGACTTGCCTCCATCCCTGGCTATGCTGTGATAGGGAGATAGTGAGCACGTGGAATGACAAAGAAGAGGTGCACAGGCAAAGTGATTTGGTAGGGACTTGATAATCCACAATCACAGAACAAGATAATTTTAGAATTAGAAAAAAAACCTGTTAACCTAAATAAAGAGGTAAACTGAGGCAAGCTCGAATTATCAGAAACTGAGTTTATTCACGAAAAGCAGAGGAAATGCAATTCGGAAAATGCATGCTGCAGGCAAGTCCGTTGAGGGCTTGGGGCAGCTGTATTAATGGGAACGAGTGCCCAGAGAAGGCAGGCCAGCCAGAGTTCAAGCAGTGAGTTCACTGGCTGGAGGATGGTGAAAGATTCTTAGCAGATGTTCATTGGTCAGGAGATGAGTCTCAGCCCACTGTAAATCAGGCATTTATAGGGAATCAGTCTCTCCATTTTCAAGTTCCATTATTCTGAGGGAGCATGCGGGAGATTCTCTGTTTCATATCTTCTGGTTCCATTTTCGACTGAAATCCCTTCACAGCCCTTAAATAGCATTTGGTATTATTTTTGTTTTCTCATTTCTTTTCTTGATCTAGATGAGCAATGTCTATTTTATTAGTTTTAGCAAATAACCATGAATTGATTTGTTCTTTTGAGATCATCTCTATAATTCTCGTGGTGGTTTTTTTTTTTTTTTTTTTTAGAATTGAAGAGGTGATCAAAACTACAGTTATAGTAGAGAATTTAAAAGTCAAAATATATATGAACAATTTAGTAACAATGAGTTTGAAAATTTTGATTAAATGATAATTTTCACTTAAGACAAAATTTAAACTGATTGACACTGTACCAAATTGAATTATCAGTCAAATCTCACACCAAAAGTGTTAGACTCAGATAGTTCATAGTATAACTTTTATCAAATATTTCAGGTGAAGCAGTATCTTTAACACACTATTTCATGAAACAGAAAAGGAGAGAAAAATCAACTAATTTTGTGAGTTTATAAACTTTAAGCCAGAGCTGGATAATCACAGAATAATTTAAAAAAAATTGTAGACCAATTTCACCTTACAACCTACATAAAAATCCTAAATGTAACTTCGGCAAATATAATTCAACAGCATATTAACGTAAGAACACAAAATGACCAAGTAGGGTTTATCCCAGAATAACGGGAATGCTTTGAAACCAAAAGCAATCTACTAATCAACATATAAAGAAAAAAAATCATGTTTTTTTCAGAGACAGGAAGTATTTGATAAATATAATACTTATTCATTATAAGAAAAAAGAGTTTTTTTGGCCAACTATAAATAGAAGGCAGCATCCCTCCTTCCAAGATATTTATTGAAAACCTATAGCAAACATACTAAAGTTAAAATTTTTTAGAAGTATTCGAAATAAAGTCAAGAACAACATAAGGATACCCTCTCTCACCCTTGCTCTGTCACATTATAAATCCTAACCCAAGGCAGGAAATAGGAAAAGCTATTGGAATGGAATAAGGCAAAATTTGTGATCCTCATGTGAATCTTCCTTACTAACTATATGACTTGGACCAACTGCTTAATCTCTGTTTTCAGTTTCCTCATCTGAAAAATGGAGGATTATTAGTATTTACCTCATATAATAATTGCTATTTCATATATATCATTATACACACAATATACAAGAGTTAACGTGAACGAATTAGAGGTACATATATCACTATGGTTGAAATACAAAAAAGTATATGTTGAGTTTTTAAAAAAATATAAGTTGTATTAAGATGTATTCACTATACAAAGTTTAAAAACAGGTATGGCAATAATACATATGTATAAATAAACTGTATTGAAACAGATGTGGGAAGGCTATACTGGACTTCAAAACAATGATTAACTCTGGGGAAGGAAGGAAAATATTCAAGAAGGAATTTTGCCTTTATCTTTAAGATGCAAAAGAGTTAAGGTTCAACCGTGAATTCTGAAGCAAATGCACTGAGCTCTGCATGGCTTGGGGTGTAGGCGGGTGGCACACCCCAGTTAAGCGAGGTCAGCCCAACTCAGACTTTATTCCCTTCATGAACACTGATGCTAAACACCCTTGTAATCCCCGCTTATCAGAGAGTAGCAAAAAATGCCACCTGCAAACATGTCACTTTGGTATAAGGTTTACTTTGAGCTCAAAGCAACTGAAAAGAAGCTGAGACAAGAAAAGCTCTCAGCTCCGGGGCCAACACAACACAGGCACACAGTTTGCCTAAGAGCAGGACAAAAAACTTGCAAAGGTGCCTCATCTCCCCTCTCCAATCACTGGAGTCAAGCTGGACCCTTATCAGCCCAGAGATTACACCAGAAGGATCTACTTATCAAACTTGACTAACGGCCCCATATAACTTCCTTTAGTTTCCCATGTATTTATTTACCTTTCCACAATTGGCCCAGAACCAGACTCGAGATCCTTTTTCTTTGCCTTGTTACTTCTCTAAAAATTTATTGCTCTTTTGCTAAGCTGCTATATAAGCCCAATTACCAACCAAGCCTTTGAGTTACTCCTCTCTTATAATCTGTGTGTTTCATGCATGATGCACAAGTTAATAAGGTTGTTTGCTCTAATCTGTCTTTTGCGGCAGAGCACCAGATGACACCTAGAAGGGTAGAAAGAAAAATATCTTTTCCTTCCCCTGCAGTATCCTTACATTTGTTGCATTTTGGCTACCTCTAATGGGGTTGGAATAATATCCTTACTTTATTAGGTTGAGCTAATCCTGGGAATCCATAAATGTTTTTCACAGTTTGCCCTTTTGA